TTTTAAACTCATTTTATCGGATATTATTTTTTACAAGTCCTACATTAATATTTAAATAGATGATAATTCCTCGGTTCTGTTGGACTGCTATGATTTTTGAACTATGGATAGCTAAACTCAATAGCCATGTATACGTCTACAGTTTGTTATAAAGCAGAAATAACCACTACAGCACGGACATTCAGATTGACATGGTCTATCAAGACATACGTCTCTTTTTACAGGCCGGAAACAAAACAATAACTAGAATAAATTCATTTGATAAAAGATCTTTAAAAACATATTTCGTTTATTGGTGACATCAGTGTATATCTTTGCAAATTACTTAAGGTATGCATCAATATTGCAGTGTTTGGTAGATTAGCGCGTAATGTACAAGTAATGATAAACAATGTCTACTCTTTAATTCGAATAACTATAAAAGTTTAAGAGTTTACATACTGATTGAGACGTATATTATTTAGTTGGAAAGACACCTACATGTAAATATGTCATTTGATTTAACTTCTTCAGGAACGCTAAAATCAAACCATCTGAAAGCATGAATACCAAAATACACAAATAGCTATATGTTGAAAAGTGTCCTGAAAATAATACCAGATCTGTCTTTCAAATGTATGTCTACTTTGCCGGATTTAGAAATTTCTTCAAAATTTTAATTTATAAACAAGTTAATGGTCAATGTAGTTGATGGATACATTGTTAAACAGTCAATTTTAAAAAGGGTATATTATAAATCTTGTCATGTCAAAGGCACTGTTTATTGAGCATATGACACCTTCGGGAACTTATAGTCAACCAGCAACGATGTCAATGCAGTGTTATAAAAATAACAGTTTACATATCTAATGTGTCATCCCATTGAAGATTTTACGGACGTCATCGAAAATTATACACAGATGTTGACGCACATATTGGTAACTACCATCCCGTCTGCTTTTTTCACAGAGTATATATCTCCCAGCTGATACGATATTCCAGGGCTTGTATTTCCGATCGTGATTTCCTTGAAAGAGGGTTGCTGCTCATAAGGAAGCTATTAAACCAAGAGTTCCAAATGGTAAAGTTGAAATCATCCCTTTGTATACGGATGCCATCACGAATTGGTTGACCGTTATGGAATATCCGTGTCACAGATGATAGCGGATATGTTCCAAATATCGTAACTATATCCTGTTCCCTTTCCCGAATGTGACTTACCAATTTAGACTTATTACCGGGTTCGTACTAACATGACCAAAACGACGAGTGCCACATGTGGAGCAGGATCTGTTAACCCTTCCGGAGAACCTGAGATCACCGCAAGTTTTTGGTTTGGTTCGTGTTGGTCAGTCTTTAGTTTTCTATGTTGTGTTTTGTGTACTATTGTTTGTCTGTTGATCTTTTATTTTTCAGCCATGGCGTTGTCAGTTGATTTTCGACTTATGAATTTGAATGTACCTTTGATATCTTTCGCCTCTCTTCTACAATACAACCAATGAATCTAAAATATCATGTTTGTTACTATTATCACAACTGATCATAACTTTGCAGATTTTTTTCAAGCAGCATATTCTTATGATATTTAATAACTTCATATGAAATTCACTGTATTCAAACTGATAAAGTGAACCATTAACATACTCTTTCAGACTTAAACTCGATTACTCGAATAATTAAAGCATACGACTCAACTTACTCATGAATAAGGCAATTGTCTTCAAGAATTTCTTTATTCGCCATGTTGAATGGAAGTAAAGTATTGTTAATATTAAATACCGTGACTGGGTTCAGTATTTTTGTGATTGTGCTTTTGATTTTGCCATTTGATTAGGGACTTTCCGTTTTGAATTTTCCTCGGAGTTCAGTATTTTTGTGATTTAACTTTTTTCAATATCAAAGAAAAAACAGTACTGTTTTTGACGAGTTATCGCCGTCAATTGGTGATTTTACGTTAAGAAAATGTTACAAAATACACTGTCATGCTATTCGGATTGTTGATCAAATCTAAACCAAATTAATGCTAACGATGTAAAAAAAAAAAATAAACAATTTGAATACTTATTAAGCTGTATAACAAAAAAAACGGGACCTAAAAGGACCAACCAAATAGTCATTAGGTCTATTCTGCCAATGTTGGTACTTTAGGTTCTTAAAGTTTGAAAATTTATCAACGAGGCATTTAAAAAATATATGTTATTAATCGTGTCAGTACGTAAGCTCTGACTTCTGAATTGATACTAACCGCGGGGACTAGCAGATACTCAGTAGCGGTTCCAACCAAGTGATAAAAATATAAAATAGCACTTTATAATTTTGATGGGTCCCGAATTTAAAATCAAATTAGTAGTCCTCTCTCCACTCATACGCGCACATATACATACACCTAAACAGTTTTAACAGTAATTCATAATGAACAAAATATATTTCGATTGTGTGTTCTTTTGCTATATGTAATTGTTTGTCAGCTCTCAATTTTACACAGAACCCCCTTCTCAGTTATTCCATATCTATTTTTGGTCTTTGACATAAGCATAATAGTATCTTTCTTACGGTATAAATTAAGGTCAATTTGGTTGTTAAAATGACCAAAGGATGTTACTGATATTTCGTGTAAGTGTTGTTAAATGTAAGATATAAAAAAAAATCAAATATCTGCTTCATATAGTATAAATATATGTGTTTGAAATAGGAATACATTTTGGTCAATCCATATTTCTAGAATTCTGTCACTCTTTAGTAATTTTTTCACAAAGGCATTTGTGGAGCCACCCCCTTACCCCTTGAAATGTTTGGATGAACAGTAGGAAAATATTGGCTTGTGATGGATTTGTAGCGCTATTCCCCAGCAAACTGTAATACATTTTGCCAAATAATACCAAAAACTCAAATTTAAACGAAATTTACCTACATTTATGACATCAAAAGTACACCACTACTGACGCAATAGGTGAAAATCTTCTTTAACAGAAACAAGTTGACTTCAAACACATGTTTTCATCAAATCTTTACAAATTATGACTGTTTATGTTTCTTAGATTGTTAGGGCCAAAACTATGAAATAGTGAACCAACTCCATTGCCAGCTTGATAATTGTCATCTGATTATCTATAGCTACCCAAACTGATTTTCGTAATTTGCAGACCAGCGCCTTTAACTTGAAGTATCATCTTTGCTATAAATGAATCTGTTTGTTGGCTGTTTGCTGTTTCGTATACAATTTACGTCCAACTGATAAAAATGAAAGATTCCAGAAAAATACAAAATCTAAAAAATTGTTTAATATTTGTGGTGCAGCCATTCGTCGTCATAAAATAAGCCTCCTCGAGTTCAAAATCCTTGAGTCGAGTTATCTGCTCTTTGAAAATATATTGAGTCCTAAGTGCAAAATATCAAACACGTCTCATTTTCCCATGTTTGCATTTTGGAAGCGAGGATAATTTTCATTGATATTTACTTGTTTAGGACAGAAAGCAAGAGGGTGTGCCAATCTGCATTTCAAACAGGAATGATAAAAAAAAAATTCTTTCGATAACAAACACCTTTCAAGTTTTAATCACAGCATGTTCGATTACTTACACTTGTCTGTTGAAATTTATTACTTTCTGATTCCCCATTTGCTATAGCAGTGTACCATTAAACGCCATCAGTAGAAGACCACGATCTTGTAGGATTGTGTGCCATTCTTGATCTAAATTGCTGATCATAACGATAAACCAAAATGTGTACCTCTAATTTCTAACATATAAGTAATCATTTCAATGGCTAAATTTTAAAATCATTGTAAAATATCTTCATATAATTAATAAATGCATCGGTCAACAACTCAATATTTTGTATAGATTTAACGTTGCTGTTTTTGTTAGATGTTATGACAATTGAACCGGCTGTGTTATCATAATTTATGACATTGTTAGACTTATTAATGTGACTGATAAAATTTTATCAAAAAGTAACGACAAAACAGACTGAACAAATAAATTCAAATAATTTGAGTTCAATATCATAAATGTTCAGTATTGCCTTAAAAATTATGTTCTCTCTGACGTTTCAATGTAAACATATGGAAATTGTTTGAAAATCCAAGTGTTTTCATTTGTACTCTTGATATATCTAATAAATCTATGCTTAATAGATAAGGGATTACTGCATGCAATGCCGCATGTAGTAATGAATTCAATAAAACAGGTTTTTTTAATAAATATATTTATTAAAACAAGTACATATATGAACCTATTAAAGTATAACTTTTTGGGTGCTCTCGACTCAAGTGACCATCATAATGTTCTTTTGATTAAAAAAAAAAAATGCATCTTTTTTAATCATAAATGCCAGCATAGCATGGAAAATCAAGCGACACCCATGTTTAAAATGTTTTAATATAAAAAAAAAAAATGTGTGTAATAAAGTCCGTGGACCTTCCTTAAAACGTTCAACCTGATTTTCCACAAAATCCTCTTTTCCCACAAAGTCCATCGAAATTATAACTATTATTTCTGTGAACATGGTGAAAGACTCCTCCTTCGGGTAAATGTACAATATAGCACGTTGCTTAGTATATTTGTTGTTTTGAAGCTACATACCAGTATGAAAACTCCATAGAACATAGACCTGCAGAAGGGTCATAAACCTCAAATGATAACCATTAATAAATAATTAAAAATTAAACAAACGTATCGATACTAGTGTTCGAACTCCTTAAATTGAAATATTTTATGGATATATTACCACCCCATATTCTTTTGTGTGGCATATATGAATATGATATTAAATAAGTTAGCCCGTAAACGTATACACACATCATTTACTTAATAAGCCTGGTTTGAAATACCTGGGGTCTGTTGTTCAACTTGTCGTTAAATTTTACTAATCACTGCGTTAAATTTAATCAGTCCATTATCATGTTGTTCAACTTGTCGTTAAATTTAACGAGTCGTTTAAAATTGTCAAAGTGTCGTTATATTTAATCGACCTCATTGAGGTTGATTAAATTTTAATCAGTTGATTAAACTCAATCTAAGATGGCTGTCAATGTATTGTTTCAACCACCTGTGGTAAGAAGAGAGCGACATTTTCGCGGTTCTGACCCTCTTGAAAGGGAATTTTCTGATGAGGAGCTAAGGCAGAGATATAGATTTGGCAGAAAGACCATTGAGTACTTGTCTGATTTAATGAGAGGGGATCTGGTGCGTGGGACAAACAAGGAGACAGCCCTTTCAGTGGAGCAACAGGTCATGATTGCCTTGAGGTTTTATGGTAGTGGATCACACTTGCAAGTTGTTGGGGACACAATGAGATTTGACAAATCAACTGTGTCTCGGGTGATTGACCGTGTGACGGAATCATTAGTTGCCAGGGAGGATTAATTCATATCGTGGCCAGATAACCAGAGGAAGAACATAATAAGGGCTGGGTTTTATGAAAAGGCTGGTTTTCCAAACGTTACTGCATGCATTGATGGGACCCACATACGGATTACTGGGCCTAGCATTGATGAACCAGTATTTGTGAACAGAAAGGGGATCCACAGCATCAACGTACAAGCCATTTGTGACCATGAAGGTAATTTAAAATATTATATTCTACCTATTTTATGTTTACAACATGCATTGTGTGCGTCCTTTTTCTTGACAACTTCAATCGTCCTTGACCATATACATGGCTGGTTTTCTGTTGAACTGGTTTTCAGCTAATTTGAAAATCGATGGAAAAAGAAAGACAACTCAATTTTGTCATATACTTTTTAATAAATCTGTAGAATCAATGCTTTTTACCGTTTCACTTTTAAATATGATGTATCGAGTGAACTGCTAAGAGTTTATGCTTAAAACATAAATTTATTGATCAAAATAGTTTTAAAGATTTGCCCATCCACCCCTTTTCTGCTTTAGGTAGAATTAGGTCAGGCTTATAAACTTTGAAACGTCAACAAATAGTGTGCCTCACGTAGTTTGCAGAAATTCTGGATCTACAACTGTACCTCTAAATGTTTCTGTGAGGAGACAGAACCCCCCCCAAAAAAACCACAAAACAAAATAAGTGTCTAATCATCCAAATTTTTCGCCTCCCCCATTCTTTCCGGTTGGGAAATAGTGACCAATCCTTAAGCCAGTCATTGTTCAATACATTAAAAAAAAAAAATGTTAAGGGAGCATATATAACTTCGATGCCCGATGTATTGTTTATCTGAATTGTTACTATACATATTTTGTTTTCATCACATTGCAAATTCGGCCAATATTTTAATGATTTGAACTATAATGGACAAACTATGCATGCACAGAAAAGAAGATGCGGTAATGATTGCTAATGAGACAACTCTCCACAAGAGATTAAATGACACAGAAATAAACAGCTATAGGTCACCATACCTATTCACAATCACTGACTTGCTTTGCATTGACAAATGAATTATGGAACTACTTTTCCCCCTTTTTAATTATCATATTTTTGTTTAAAGGTAGATTCACCAACATCAGTGCTAGGTGGCCAGGATCAGCACATGATTCTCATGTTTTCAGAACCTCAGCCATAGGACAACATCTTGAGAATGGATATCAAGGAGTTGGACAAGGTGTATTGTTAGGAGACAGTGGCTATCCCTGCAGACAGTTTTTGCTGACACCATACAGACAACCAGCTGCTGGTAGAGGTCAAACAAGGGTTAACAGAAGACTTTGCTCAACAAGGTCAACAATAGAAAGGACATTTTGAATATGGAAGAAGCGCTTTCACATTCTAGGATCAGAGGTAAAATTAATTCTTTACAAATAATCATAGTAGTAAAATGAATATATGACATAGTGTATGCCCTTATATTTTAGAAATTATGTTGTTTTTTTCTTGTGAGAGCTGTCTACTAAATCTTTCATTAGTACATTTTTTCTATTTCTCTAAATTTTGGTTTAGGTATTCATTATTGTCCCCTTCTCTTTCTGGGCCTTTTATAGCCTACTATACGATTTTTTTATATTGCTGACGGCCGTACGGTTGCCTATAATTGCTTACATTTACTTCATTTTAACTTTGCAGGATATATACATTTTAGTTATAAAATTAACAATCATACCAAATCTCCTCATTTTTATTATGTAAAAAAAAAAAAAGATAAAACTGAAAAATCAGTTGTATTTATAGTAAGTAAAGTAATTAAATTTTTATTATAGTGACATGTGTAATAACAGTTTAACAAAATACAAATATATTATATAAACAATAAAATATACCCGACCCATTGGGTCTATAAGTCACTTTCAAAATCATAAAACGTATTTCTTTGATCACGGATATTAAAGGGCTGATAAAGCTGACCTCAGAAACACGTAAAATATCAAGCCGGGACAAAAACACAATGATCAACAATTCATCACACAGATCAAAACCCTAAAATTATATGTATAATCACACAGATCAAAACCCTAAAATAAATGTAGAATCATACAGATCAAAACTATAAAATTATACGGAGAACAGGGATCCAGTTGGAAATTGGTAATGTTGGTTCAGTAAATTCAGGTAGTCCTGTTGGGGTAGATGCTTCAAGTTAGTCATTACTGTAACTATAATAAATCATGAATGAAACAGTACATCATCAGTTGGACTTTTTGCTCAGCTTCATACCTGATTTTGTCCTGTTTTCATTAATAGTGTTTTCAAATATGCACATGTCACATTGTGTTTCTGTTACTGAAAGTAATTTTTTTCGTAATAGATTTATTTAATATCAGCCTTATTCATGAACAACGTTGCATCATGCTACTTACAAATAGTATTTCTGTCACACTTTAAAATTAGAAATTAATATTTTTAAATTGTATTCCAGATCCGAATGAAACCAGATAAAGCTTGCCGTATCATCATTGCTTGTGGTGTTCTTCACAATATTGCCATCATGAGGAATGAACCTGACGTTGCAGAAGAACAATTAATTGACAATCAACCTCAGATGCCATTTTGCTACCACTTTTTTTGCCTAATAAATTGCAAGTTTTTATTTTTAAATTGTATTCCAGATCCGAATGAAACCAGATAAAGCTTGCCGTATCATCATTGCTTGTGGTGTTCTTCACAATATTGCCATCATGAGGAATGAACCTGACGTTGCAGAAGAACAATTAATTGACAATCAACCTCAGATGCCATTTTGCTACCACTTTTTTTGCCTAATAAATTGCAAGTTTTTATTTTTCCATATTTTCATACATTGTCATTCATTAAAAAAATGAGGAAATTTGAAAATAGCAACAAATCTTTATATGATCACTTTGACAAACTGTCGACAGAGGAAGTGTGCATTTTCGGCTTAAAATTTGGTATAGTTAATTGTGAGCAGTTAGTCGCCTATGAAATCAAAAACCCAGTAGCCATGCAACTGTACTTCAGTATAAAAATAAGAATATGTGGTATGATTGCCAATTGATTATATCAATTACCATATGGTAAAAATTAAATTATTTAAATGCCGAAAAAGGCGCAATCCAGGTCCGACAGTACAAGGGCTGTATATAGCCAGTCAAGTTCATTTAAAACTTCCATCATCCTGATTGCCAATGAGACTATGGGGTTTCCCGAAACAACAATTTACCAAAGACCAAATGTCCTCAATATCAGCAATTATAGGTTCCAGTGCAACAATTGTAAAACAATTCAGATAAGTTAAACCAATCGCCAGAATTATATAATAAATAAACCAAAAAATAAACAAATATGAAATACATTAACAACAGACAACAATTAAAATTACAGGCTCCTGATTTTGGGAAGGTACATGTAGAAGAATTGCAGCGAGGATATAAAGACATTTCATTTCTTGCAAGAAGTCAAAAACGAAACATCGGAGCTAGCTTCCAGTTCATGCAGTTGCATTATTACAACCGGGGGGATGGGGGGGGGGGGGGGGGGGGGGGGGGGGGGGGGGGTTAGGGGGTAAGGATGAAAAATTTTGTCCTGCATTTTTTTTTTGTGTAATCTCTGTCCTGCCTTTTTTTATTAGATTATCCTGTCTTTTTTTACATAAACTGTCATCCTGCCTTTTTTTTGCCAAGTTGCTCATCCTGCCTTTTTTTTTTTACTCAAAACTCCTGTCCTGCCTTTTTTTTTCAAATTTCATCCTAGCCCCCATAAAAATCAAATGGTAGCTCCCTTATGATTCTTTGAATGATGGAGGTGCATTGGGGGTTGCAAAATTGTAATTACTATTTTCTTTTACATAGGAGTGTATACACAAAATGAATTTGGTGGCCTCATAATAATTTCTAAAATAAAAATCAACAATATAACAATGAATTTAATACGTTTAAAACATAGAGGCAAGTGCCTGGGAGAGTGTGACCGGTTCTGAATTGCCACCCATTAACTTCTGTAAAACCTCAATTTGGAGTTCCAGTTTTTTCTTTTCTAGGTCCATTTGAATGTTCTTCTTCTCTTGTATCACTAATTTACCCTGCAGTGCACGATACTGTATGTCATGTATGTCCTGCACTGTTACCTTTTTTGAGAGTGTTCTCACTACCCTACAAATAAAAAAAACATAATGATTTTTTTAAAAGATTGAATACTTTTACAACTCTTTTTATTGATCAATACCCAGGCAAAATTCCACCAAATAGCTACTTACAACTCGGGGGCCACTTTCTATATACAAAGTGATTGAACAACGTGCCGTTGAAATATGTCATGTTTTCCGGCTTGAAATATGTAAATAGGTGGGGAAAACTATCAGAAATATATGAAAAGGTAACAAAAGTTCCATTTACTTGTATACCAAAAAGCTCTGTCTGAAACTGTCATTTTTCACATCCTAAAAAGTCTCGCCGTAAGTTGAAATAACATTACATACAGTATCTTAGCCCTTATTTCATTGGCGGATCCAGAAATTTTCACAAGAGGGGGCCCACTCCAGTCATGCTTCAGTGATTCTCTATATAATCAACCAAATTTTTCCCACAAAAAGGGAAAGGGGTGGGGCACAAGCCCCATGGACCCACCCACTAAATCTGCCTCTGAAATGACCACAAGAAACCCAACAAATATGAGAAAAGGTTACATTATTAACTACGCAATATAGGAAAAGGACTATATATTTTTAATATCTTAATTATATTAATAGGGTGGGGTCACACTAGAACCCCAGCGGCAACCCTATCAATCAAGTATTGATCCCCCCACCACCACCACCACCACCATCCCCGATGCTTACTTAGGTGCTGACATGACAAAAACTTGAATACATTTAAAGTTATTATAAGGAAATATATCACTATAAATCACTATACCATATAGTTCTATCCTTAGCAGAATTTGTCAATACTTTTTAGGTTTAGGTTTGAAAGATTGTCTCGTTTAGTGATATTAATGACTGCATTGTCATGAAGAACCGATAGCAAAATCTCACTTTGAGGTTCATTGTTGGAAATATAAACATGCATTGACAAATTTAATTTTATACATTGTATCAAGAAAAAAGTGTTGGCCAAATAAACTAGCGGAACCTGTTTACACAACACATTTTTAAAGAGTTCTTGTTGCAGGCAAGGATTTGTATAGTAGCATATCTTACTATACAAATCCTTGTTGAAGGCCTTACTTTTAATTTCTGTGTCATTTTGGTCTCTTGTGGAGAGTTGTCTCATTGGCAATCATAACATATCTTCTTTTTTATATTTATTTTAAACTTACTTCCGCTTTTCTGTAATACTTGTTTGTACTGGAACAACTGTTTGTGTTAGGATAGGGTCATATCCAGTCAGCAGAGATGGACTCTGTGGACTGAGAGGGGGTGAACTGATAAGTGATGCTGCCGACTCATAGAGATCCTGGCTGGCATCTTCTTCTGGTAATGTGGCAGTGGTAGTTGGTGGATCTGTAATAAATGAGAAAAAATTGACTTGTTAATACTGTGTTTGGGTATTTTATCTATCTGTTTATAGGGGACCGGGGCAATGGAAACATATCATCGTACATTAAATTCAGATACAATGTACTTTAAATTGCAAGTAAAAAAAAAATTGCACAAGACTAAATAAGACCCTATTTCAACCCTTTAAATATTATTATGGGTCTCAGCTATAAACTATGTGTTCCTGTCTAGGTTCAGACTGCAACAACAAATAGATAAACTTTATTCCGGATTTATGATTACCAGTCCGTATGTGTTTTAGTATTATAAATCATGACTGGTTTTCGCTCCAAATTATCTATTGTGGTTCCTTTTAATCTAACAACAGATACCAGTTTGAAGACGACTTGGCGGGCACCTGCCACTTGTGAACAAATGTTGAAAATAACATTTTAAAACCTTTTTCAGTTTAAATAAATGCAATCTTGCAATAGTAAAACAAGAGCAGAACCTTCAAACCAACAAGAAACACGTTGGCAATCATTTAAGTAATAGAAAATTGGTCAAAATAAATTGTTTTCAGTCACGTGATATCAGTTGGGAATTCCCCTACTTGTTGTGACGGCGGAGCAGACGAAACTTTTTCTAAAATTGAATAAGGGAAACTATGTATCCCGGGATTAAAAAGGCTACGAATATGTGTGTTATTTTCCTCGAATTTCATTAAAAATTAACAATAACAATAAAAAAACACCTTCAAAACAAAATTTTGCCAAAAATTGTTTGTTTATGAAAATTAAAAACATTTAGTTGATTGAAACTGTTAAAGTTCACTTTTTACAAGGTGCAATAAAAAAAGGTAGAGCCTTGAGAAGTTCTAATTAAGGGAAAAACATTTGGGGATATATTCTTATGTGCTAAACATTATTTACATACTTGTCTGGAATGACTCTGTTTCAAGTCCACCCTGAATCCCTCTGAAGCTAGTGGTGTCCTTCATCAGGTGGATAACCCTCTCCACTGCTGTGCTGGGTTGCTTTGGAGCTGGTCCTCCTCCAGTTTTGAATATTTCATTCCTGTGTTTTGAAAAAAAGGCCTTGGCCACTCTTGTGGTGTTCCTCCATTTGTTTCGTACTTCTGTTGAAGTACGAAGAGCAACTCCAAGAGAATTTACCTTGATGGTAATCTCATCCCAAATGTCTTTTTTTTAATTTATTTGTTACTGTGTTTGTTAATTTTCCATTTATGATGTTGGAGTTTTTTTCCACAAGCTGTTGTATCAAGTCTTCTTCTGCCACAGTAACATTGGTCTTCTTTAGCCTTTTCAGTTTGTTTGGGGTTTGTTCAACTGGTTCAGCCATTTTTTACAGACAGGAAGCTCATAAACAATGAATGATGGGTAGGTTTTATTTAATCTCTTGACTAATCAGTTTATAAAATTTTAACGCATGGATTAATCAGTTGATTAAATTTTAATTCATTGATTATTTAATCAACGCGTTAAATATTGTTGAACAACAGAAAATAAACGACTCGTTATGTAACGACTCGTTAAAAAATTTAACGATTCGTTAAATTTAATCAATCGTTAAAATAACGACAGGATGAACAACAGAGCCCTGTACTCAAGCATTATTATGTACACTTTGTAATTCTACATTAAAGATAAAATAAAACATGATATTAAACATATTTAAGCAATTCGTGGATAACACTGTAAAAGTATTGATTAATACAAGTTTTAAATCGGAGATGAGAAAACTTGTGAATAAAATCAATTAGGAAGATTAAAATCTGCTTTCCAACTTTACATTTAATACAAAAACAAACAAACAAACAAATATTAATTAATTACAACTTAAGACGATTTTCCTGATGCTTGACGTATATAGGCTGTTAAACACTTTGAAAGCTTTTATGCATTTCAATAATAGATCCTGAAAAATGAACACACAGTAAAGCGCTTCGTACGATTAACTTCATTTAGCATTAACTTTATTATTTCAAAGCATTTGGTCGATACCGCTGATGGTCAACTATGTGTACTAGAGGTTATCATAAGATCAGTAGTCAGTGTTTCGGTATGGACCTGATTTATAACAGATCTTTGCATGTTTTGAAATCGTCCTTTTTTAAAAAAAAAAAATTAAACTCCCTCTGGCAAAGAAGACTTATATTAATTTTGCTATTACTCT